CCTCTCCGCCGCCCACTCGCTTCCGCGCCCCTTCCCGAGGGTGACGGCGGAGCCCCGAGCCCCGGAAACTCTCTTTCTTCGCCGGGGGCGACAGTCGAGGGCGCCCCAGCTGCCCGACGACAAATGCCGTCGTCCAGAGGTGCGCGGAGAGGCCGTCCCCGCCGTCCCGCCTCTCCCCGGGCGGCGGGGCCGTCCGCCGACAGCCTCGGAAACGAAGACGGGGCTGCGAGGTGGGGACGGCCCCCGGACGGCGCCTGGAGCGCCTGCCTCTCTCCGCGCCCTCGGGGACCAGCCCCGGCTCCGGAATCCCGCAGAGCCAGAGTCCCGGCCTGGGCGAGCGAGGAGGCGGGGCTGAGGCTCTCGGGCCGGGGAGTCCGCGCACCTGTGCCCTCCCGCGACCCTACCCTACGTGACCATCTCGGGGGGCCCGAGAGAACTGGGTGTCTTTACGCTCAGTCGCTCTGGGTCATTAAGTCGGTCTTTCGCGGACAGAGAGGGCGATTGGTAAAGCAGTAGCGCTACCGCCCGTCCCGTTTGGAAGGGGTCGAGGAAGGCGACCTCAGGTGGCATCTCCCCGGCCTTCCCCGACCGGGAGCGCGGGCACCGGCCGATCTTCCCCTGCGCGCAAGCTCTCCGGCGCCCTTCCTGACCCAGCCTACATCATCTCCCAGCAGTAACTCCACTCCAGCTGCAAATCCGGGGAATGTCCCGCGCGGAGAGGCTCCGCACTTCAGGGCACAGTTTAGCCTTTCAGAGAGCAGACTGGCCTCCCTGGGTCCCTCTTTACAAATGCCTGCGGGCCGCATCTCTGTTTTGTGACCTTACTTATCTGTGACCTGGGGAAGGTAACGCAGCCCCTGCTCTTAGCTCTCTCCTCCACATTCAAACAATTTCTATAGAAATTCTGAGAAACAAAGCGGAATAAAGGGCATAAACAGAAAGCAAACCTCTCGGTGGGGAAATTCATCCGTTAAGTAAACAGAGAACCCCAACTATGTACTGACCTTGAGGATATGAAGAAGAATCGCAGTAAGAAGAGATAAGCCAGGGGCGGACGAGTCAGAATGGGCCCAGGTAGGAAGAAAGGCCCCTGCGTGTGCCAAGGAGGAAGAAGGGAGAGCTTAGCTCATCTGCTAGTTTCTTATGGGTGGAACAAATAACTTAATAGGGAAAGAAGTGAGAAATGAGCTTGGAGAGCTGAGCAAGAGTCAAATCCTTTGTGCTATGATAAGAAATTCGAACTTAACCCCAAGGTAACGGAGAACAAAGGATAATTTTTAAACTGGAGGATCCTGAATCTTAATCTAAGGAACAATGTTTTAGCAAATGGGACAATTCCCGGCACAATCCTGAGTCCCATTGAATTGTAGTTGGTGAGTTCTCAGAACCTTCTCATTGTTAATGGATTAGCAGTCTTTTAAAGAAAAGGCAATTATTAAAATTACATAAAGATTTTTAGTAAGATTATGTAAAAATAAAAAAGATAAATAATTCTGTATAGCAGTAACAAACACTACACTTCACATCTCGGTTCTTCCCTTGCCCTTGTAAGACAAGTGAGCATTCCTGAGAATTTCTACATGACCAGCTGTTCATCTTTTTAACAGAATGCCATTCTTCAGCTCATTTGGAAAGGATACTTCCTTTAAGTGTGTAATTCAGAGTTCCTGAGAGCAGGTGTATTTGGGAAAGACATTTCATATAAAAAAAAAAAAAGATATAAAATAAACTTAATTGGGTAAACAATTAGATGTAATCTGAAAGCCCAAGTCATTTTCTTAGGAGAAACTGAATATATTTGGTGTTACCTAACCTGCAGTTTATCAAGATGCAACAAATATATTCTATCTAAAATACTTCAGAATGTTTGAACAAGCACAATTTTCAAAAGCACTTATTTTATCATAAATAGACAGTTGGATATTTCACAACTTAGTGACTTTGTAACCAGCTCAGAAGTAAGTACATGTTCTCTCTGACCACAGTACATTGATTACTGGAAATCTCAGTAGTATAGGAATCTTGTAGATCATTGACAGGTGTGTTGTTGTTTTTTTAATATGTTTTTATTGATTTGAGAAAGATGGATGAGAAACATCAACATGGATCGGCTGCCTCCTCCACGCCCCCTGGTGGGGATTGAGCCCAAAATCCTGGCATGTGCCCTGAAGGGGAATGGAACTAGTGACCTTTTGGTGCATGGTTTGACACTCAACCACTGAGCAACACCCGCTGGGCAGTTGACAGCTTTGATCCTAATTTATTTCAACAGTCACCACCAAATCACAAAAATGGTCATATGGGCAATGAAACAAATTCACAATAAAATGAATTATAGGAAATGTTTCCAAAACCTATGAAAGTTAGTAAAACTTAGAAAGCTAGCTAACAAAATCTTTGCTTTGATTAACACATTTGAAGTGGCTAATTCAAATTATATGTTCATGGCTGGCGGCATCAGCTTGTCTATCAGTAGCATCTGACACAGCTGATCATTTTCTCCCCTTCAATACAGTTCTTCACTTGGCTTCAAGGACATTACTCTTAGTTTTCCTTTTACCGCCCTGGTCACTGTCTGTCTCCTGTACAAGGTCTTCCCCTTCCTCCCAATCTTTTCCTATTAGAGCACCCCAGAGCTCAATCCTTGGTTCTCTCTCTATACTCACTCCCTTGTTGATCTCATATAGTTTCATCATTTTCAATAACATCTATATCCCAAAGACTCCCAAATTAATATCCAACTACTTGTTGCCAAAGAATAAAACACAGGCTACCAAAGTTTTTTTAAAAAATACTAACATGCCAGGCAAGGGAACATGAAGACATTCACTGAGTGGTTCACTAGATCACAGAAAGCAGGTTTCGCAGAGTGTTTGCTAATAAAAAATGGAAAAATAGTGCTATAAATAGGATGGAGTCCATAAGTTTACATACGATGGGTTAAAAAAAATCCCTGGATGGAATTTGTTCAGTAAGGGTCTGGAGTCACTTAGAGTTCATGGTTTTTTAACAGCTTTAGCTGGTTAAAACGGTTGTAGTGAAAACAGCCTTGGGCCGTTTGATGTATTCCAGGCCAGTATTACCGTAAACTGAAAATTTCTCTTTCACCCTTATCTACTGTACTGTTTGGATGTCTAATGAGAACTCAGATATATGTGCTCCAAGCTTATCTCCTCACCCTGATCACCTGCAGCCCCCTTCTCGGTCGATGGCAATCCCATCTGTACGATTGTTCAGGCCAAAAACCTTGGAGCAGTATTGCCCTTAAAACAAGCCAGGAGAGCCCTTACCCAGAGCCCTGAGCTTTAGAAAAGTCAAAATGACATATCGGTCTGAGCTCACTCATTCTAGACCATACTCTGGGTACTCAGGATTCCAAAGGCCCTGCCTAAATGGCCTCGACTAGTCCAGAGTATGCATTATGTCACCAGTGTGTGCACCGGTGTGGAAGGAGGTGAATTTTGAACGTGCAGGCTAGGGTGTCCACACAAACGTGCAGGAGACCTGCTGCCATACAATTCAGAGCCAGGGATGGGAAAAGAAGGAAGGTGAGGATGAGCTCTACTTGCAAGTGACATTCTGGCACTGGGCTTTAAGAATCTGAAATTCAAACCTGACCCTGCAGGTAATTATGGAGGTGTATTTGTCAAGATAGGAGAATTGGATGCATTTTCATTTAACAGACTTTTAAATATTTAACCATTGGTGTGTCTCCATTGTACTCTTGCCCCAGAATTGCAAATGTTTAGAAGCATGCCTGCCTTGCAATTATCTTTTACTCATTTCTCTTGATAATCAACAAATTGCCAGGAGATCCCATCAGTTAAGTCTTCAAACTACATCTGTATATCATTAATTTTGTTCTTTACCACCCTGATCCAAATCACCATTATCTCTCTCCTGAATTACTGCAATGGGCTCCTAACTTGTCTCCCAGATCCTAACACTGTTGAATTATAATCCGTTTTTCACACAGCAGTCAGGGTCATCCTAATCATTTTTTTCAAGTCTTTGCTCAAATCTCCCCTCAATGAGGCCTATCCTAATCACTCTAAAAATTGCAACCACTCAATTCTCGTTAATTTCCCCCATAGCATGTATTACCTCCTAACATACTGCTGAGTTATGTCTATTGCTTATTTCTGTTCCCCTTACTATAGAATGTAAGTTCTTCAAGAGGGCAAGGATCATTGCTTTGATGTATCCCAATCACCTAGAAAAATTCTTAGTACACAGTGGGGACTCAACATATGCAGAAATTTTAAATTGAATCAGAAGCCCTTACCATAAAATCAGTATCTTCACGTTTTCAACAGATTTTTCATAATGCATCCTACTTCAAAATTTTTTCAAACTGTCAAAGACTT